TAGTAGTAGTAGTAGTAGTAGTAGTAGTAGTAGTAGTAGTAGTAGTAGTAGTAGTAGTAGTAGTAGTACAAATAGTACTAGCAATTCTGGTGGAATACTAGAGCACTCACCATCATGAATCAAAATTTGACTTTGTTGGAAGACTCAGCAGAAAACTTCACAAAATTTAGAACAGAACTAGTAGTCAATAACCAACAACAACAACAATGGTGGCTTATGGCACCACAGCACAAAAACAAGAATGTGGTCAGTGAACAATATTTTCTCCTCCATCTTTTTGTTACGTACTCCAAAATCAGATATCATAGAAGTGTAACATTCCTCCTTCATCCACTGTTATATTTCCTTTTGCTGGTAGATTGCCTGCCAACAGTTCTCAAACAGTTGAATCATTGCTTTGAGGTAACTCATGAATCCCCAGCAGATCTTTGTTTCTTTCAAGCCTTGGATAGTACTTTCTTCCAACAATGACACAAACATAACTTCCATTTACTGGTGCTGCTGCTCACCATCATTTTGTATACAAAAAGGGGCCAGTATGATGATAAAAAGGATTAGTCTTGCTGATACCAGTGTAAAAGATTCCTTACTCCAATGTCTGTAACAAAGTACTATCCCAACAAACACAATCACAACCTGTATCTGCTACTACTAGTTGTAGTATCTGTGCCTTGCTTCTCTTGTTTTCTTGGCATTTCACTTGAACAGCACCAACACACCTATTTGTAATTCATTTACACATTCTATTGACTGGTGTGGTAGCGGATTTGTAGAAATCCAGACTAACAATCTGGAATACTAGTATCTACTAGTAATAGTCTGCACCCACACCAGCAGTTCTAGCTGCTGATGGTGGTTGTATGGCCCTGAGTTGAAAAGTAAAAGGGACAAGGAAGAATGAACATAGTGTCACTTACTAGTACAGGTTGCAAAGCTTGGTGTTCTTCTCTTCTTGCAATGTATGTGATACTTTCTATGGAGGCTGTTTTGCACCTCTTCTTCCACTACCTTGCTGGGCCTTATCAGCATAACAAAGAGCTCACCACAACAAGGTCATATTCTCAAGCAAGAACCAACAAATTGGTGTATTTTTAATTTTGTTGTCAGGAATAAACTATGACTAGTAATAGTAATAGTACAACTAGTAACAGAAGCAGTGTAGTAGTAGTAGTATCGAAAAGTGTGATTACCAGATTTTTGTTATACTACTACCACTAGTACTAAAAGTTACTACTAGTAGTTATTTGGCAGTACTACGAGTTTTGCTGAAAATGTTATATCTTCTCATGATATTTGTGCTGGTATCGTTATGTCTTACCATGCCATCAAAGTGGCATGTTTTTTATCTGTGTGGTCTTTGGCCTGTATTTTGCTAGTTAAGATATCTAGTAGTATTAATTCTTATTGAGACAGCTGATTGGGCACAAGAAGTGCATCAAAGTCTGTCCATCAGAAGAGAGACCCATTTTTTGTAGTATGTTTTAAAATCAAAGAAGGTCATTTGTTGCATTCTAGGCAAGGCAGAATACAGGAATGAACAACAGATTACTAGAGGTAGTACTAGTACTACAAAAAGTACTATTAAAGTACTGGTGGTACTATTCTACCAGTAGTAGTAGTACTGATAGCAAGGCTTGTCATATTACTAGTAGTAGTAGTTGTAGTAGTGGTAAAACCAATGTAAGTAGTAACAAAAAAGTATGCAAAAATTGTTGTGACTAGTAGTAGTAGTTTTTGTTGTTCTAGTGCATTTCTTTTCCTTTTTGTTCTTCATCTTCCTTTTGAGAGTCACCAATGTCAAGATGGGAGAATTTCAGAAAAAATTGTATCCATAGAATGATACTAGTAGAAGAAAAAGAGCAGAAGCTGTAGACTTGAGGAACAATTATAAACAGTAGTATTGTCCTCCCCTTGAGTACAATTTGGCATCCTAGCAGTTCTTTATTTCCTGTTCTTCTTTAATGTGCTGCTGCTAGTAGTAATAGTGGCTAGTATTGAAAACTGACCCTGCTGGTGGTTTCTGCTGTACTTCATTTGCAAGCAGATGGCAGTACTTGTACTAGTAGAGGCTGAGTTTGTTCTGATGATTCCAACAATGCCATCCTCCAGGAATCGGGCCCCAAAAAAAGTCTCCACAAGACTATGTACTGGCACCATTATAAAAGGTTATGAATACTTCCCATGTGTGTATGCCTTGCTTGTTTGTTTTCCCTCTTACCACCAGAGTAGCTTTATAGTAATGGTTCTGGCCTTCCTGTAGGCACCTCTTCTACTAGTGACAAGATTAAACATAATATTGTGTTTTTTTTGTAGTACTAGTAGATATTGGTGATTGTGTCTCTTCACTTTTATCATTAGTAGTAGCTTCTAGTATTACCAGCAATAAGAGTTTGTCTATTGTTCTCTGTTCTGTGTCTCCTTGCTTCTAGAAAAAGTTTCCACCAAATGATGCTTGAGGAAAGTTTGATCTATGCATCATGATTCTGATACTAGTATTATTACTGCTTCATCTTTCCTCATGCAAATACTTAGTGCTAATTTTGTTCTTTGTGTTCACCTAAAAATATGCCACCATGCTTGCTGAATCTTTGACAGTGCAATTTAACACATGACTAGTAGTAGTATGCAGAATACATAGGATTAGTAATACTAGTACTAGAAGTTCTAAATAGTGAAAAATGTGATTGTGAAGTCAAAAAAATAGTTTCATTCACCAGAATTTCCCTTCAATGAATACTACAAAAGATAGGAACCAATCATCTCTTTTCACAAGAAGAATGATTCTCATTGAAAGAAACCCAATGGTCCTGAAGAAATGGCCACTAAAACAAAAGTTATGGTACTTTTAATATCCATTGCTCTTTCTGAATACTACTAGTATTTTTACTTTCTTAGTAGTACTAATACCTAATCTAAAATAGGAATAGGACATAAAATAATGTTGAACTTTAGTAGTACTAGCTATCAGAGGAATATGACTTAAAATGAGGAGCCCCTGAAATTTTGACCATAGGCAATAAGAAGAATCATGTCAATGATTGGGATAGAAGAAGTACTAAGTACTAAGAAGAAGAATGGAATGAAGATGTAAACTTAGATATTTTCCTTTGAAAACATACTACTAGTGGTCCAGACCCCTACTTCTGGACCCTCATCACAAAGAAATAAACCATTTAACAGATGGGCAGGAACCCAAACTCTCAACCAGACTCATAATTACTACTACTACTACTAATAGGATTATTTCCTCCTTTCTTGGCAGGGATGTTCTGTCAAGTCAAATGCCTAAATTACCTCAATGATGAGTATGGTCACTACAGCAGCTGCAATCCCATTCTGGTTTTTGCTTCCTATTGTGTTCTGCCAACCCACCATTTGCTGACACCAATTATTTCTCTTTCAATTCTCATGAAACTACTACTACTGCTGGAACTTACAACTATATTCATTCCCCCACTACTTGCTACTACAATCATTTCAAAAGTATTTCAACTGAACAAATGATTCTTGTTCTTGATAGCATGCACCAATCCAAATGAGCTTTGATTCACAAGGAAAAGTATATGATGCCACTCATGCTGGTTACCTCCTCCACCATATTACCACCAACATTTTCACAGTATTTCATTGTATCCCAATGGGCAAAAATAACCAATTCTTATCATTCATCATCTCACTCCTCTATGGAACTATTATGAAACTAGTAGTATTGGTTATAGTAGTAGTACTAGTACTACTGGTAGTAGTAGTAGTTGAAATTTTCCACTAGTAGTAGTACTACACGTACTTTGATTTTTGATAAGTTTGTCCTGACATCACCCTCCAGTCAGTTGTGGACCAAGCTTG